TATATATATGTATATATATATATATATGTATATATATGTATATATATATATATATATATATATGTATATATATATATATGTATATATATATATATGTATATATATATATATGTATATATATATATATGTATATATAAATCAATCAATGATGTAATTCAGGTGTAAAATTTTGCTTGAAGATGTCGGTGTAAAATTCAGGTGTAAACTTTTGGATGAAAATTTTGGTGTAAAATTCAGGGGTAAGATTTTGGGTGAAAGATTAGCTGTAAATTTCAGGTGTAAAATTTTTGTTCAAAATTTAGGTGTAAAATTCAGGTGTAACATTTTGGTTGAAAACTTTCGTGTAAAATACAGGTTTAAAATTTTGGTTGAATATTTACGTCTACAATTCAGGTATAAATTTTTGGTAGAATATATTGGTCTAAAATTCAGATTGAAAATTTTGTTTGAAGATTTAGTTGTAAAATTCAGGTGTAAATTTTGGTTGAAGATTAGGGTGTAAAATTCAACTGCAAAGTTTGGGTTGAAAATTTGGGCGTTAAATTCAGGTTTAAAATTTTGGTTGAAAACTTGGGTTTAAAATTCAGCTTCAATAAATTTGGGTTGTAAACTTAGGTGTAAATTTCCGGTGTAAAATTTTGGTTGAAGGTTTCGGTGTAAACCTCTGGTGTAATATTTGGATAAATATTTGGCTGTAATATTCAGCTTGAAAATTTTAGTTGTAAATTTAGGAGTAAAATTCAGTAGCAAAATTTATGTTGAATATTTGTGGGTGAACTTTTAGTTGAAGATTTGGCTGTAAAATTCAGGTTTAAAATTTTGGTTGAAGATTTGGGTTTAAAATTGAGGGGTAAAATTTTGGTTGAAGATTTGAGTGTAAAATTCAGGTTGAAAATTCTGGTTGTAACTTTAGGTGTAAAATTCAGGTGTAAAATTTTGGTTGAAGATTTCGGTGAACGATTCAGATATAATATTTTGGATGAATATTTGGGTGCAAAATACAGGATGAAAATATTGGTTGTAAATTTAGGTGTAAAATTCAGGTGTAAAATTTTGGATGAACATCTAGATGTAAAATTCAGGTGTAACACTTTGGGTGAAAATTTGGGTGTAAAATTCAGGTTTAAAATTTTGGCTGACATTTGGGTGTAAAATTCATGTTTAAACTTTTGGTTGAAGATTTGGCTGCAAAATTCAAGTTGAAAATTTTGGTAAAAAATTTAGGTGTAAAGCTCAGGTGTAAGATTTTGGTTGAAGATTTGGGTGTAAAATTCGGGGTTAAAATTTTGGCTGCAGATTTAAGTGTAAAATACGGGATGAAAATTTTGGTTCAAAATTTAGGTGTAAAATTTAGGTTGAAGATTTGGGTCTAGAATTCAGGTTGAGAATTTTGGTTGAAAATTTACGTGTATAATTCAAGTATAAATTTTGGGAGAAGATTTGGGTGTAAAATTCTGTTTGAAAATTTTAGTTGAAAATTTAGGTGTAAAACACAGCTGTAAAGTTTTGGTTGAATACTTGGGTGTAAAATTTAGCTGTAAAATTTTGGTTGAAAATTTGCGGGTATAATTCACGTTTAAAATTTTGGTAGAATATTTGGGTTTAATATTCAACTTGAAAATTTCGATAGACAATTTAGGTGTGTAATTCAGGTGTAATATTTTGGATGAATATTTGTGTGTAAAATTCAGGTTTAATATATTGCTTGTAAATTTGGGTGTGAAATTCAGGTGTAAAATTTTAGTTCAAGATTTCAGTGTAAAATTCAGGTGTAAAACTTTAGATGATAATTTACGTGTAAAATTCAGGTTTAAAATTTTGTGTGAAGATTTCGGTTTGAAATTCAGTTGTTAAAATTTTGATTCAAGATTAGGATGTAAAATTCAGGTGTAAAATTTGGTTGAATATTTGGGTGCAAAATTCAGGATTAAAATTTTGGTAGAAGATTTGGGTGTAAAACTAAGCCGTAAAATTTTTGGATGAAAATTTGGGTGTAAAATTCAGGTTTAAAATTTTGGTTGTAGATTTGGGCTTAAAATTCAGATTGAAAAGTTCGGTTGTATACTTAGGTGTAAAACTCATGTGTAAAATTTTGTTTGAAGATTTCTTAGTAAAATTCAGATGTAATATTTTGGATAAATATTTGGGTGTAAAATTCAGGTTGAAAATTGTGGTTGTAAATTTAGGTGTACAGTTCAGGTGTAAAATTTTGGTTGAGGATTTTGGTATGAAATTCAGGTGTAAAATTTTGGATGAAAATTTACGTGTGAAATTCACGTGCGAAATTTTGGTTGAAAATTTGGGTGTAAAATTCAGGTGTAAAATTTTGATTGATGATTTAAGGAGGCTCCCTACAGTTGCGTGCGGGATGTTCGCGGGACCAGTACGTGAGCTATCCCACGCAACCGCATGATCAAAACAAAACAAAATATTTTTCTTTAAAAAAGCTATTTCTGAAAGGTTTCTAATGGGAAAAAGCGTTGAATAATACTTCGTTTTGAGTGCCAAATTACTTGCGAGTCTATACAGCAATTCTACATATGATACGAATACCACTAGACCAAAAAATAGCTACGAAACAATGTTTTTTAATGTTTTTAAAATATACATTGTCAACTGTAAAACATTTGCAAAATTGCATACAAACGTTTAAAAAGTTGTTTACTTCTCAAGAAAACGTTCACGTTTTCGGTCGTGTTTCTACAAGATTAAAGTGATTATATGTGAACAGAAAAATATTCAGTCAGTTTCATAGCCTAATTGTTCATTTTTAGCAAAAAGTACAAAACCAAACATGAAACAAAAAAACACGTCCACCTGTTAATAGGCTGTTACAGCTCATAGATTGAGTAAACGGCAGGATTCAATTAGCTTCAACCTTGTTTTCATCGATTTAATCCTTCACAATAATCCTTGGCTGTCCGTAGCACTCAAATATAAATCGAAAAGTTGACAAAAACAAAACAGTAAAAACATTGCGGCTCGATTTTGCTGAATGAAAACTCGTTCTGCGCCCGCGTACAATCTTTTACTAGTCAGCGACGCTTTTCAATAGGGGAATTTCTCGAGTTACACGAGGCTATTTTCTAACTTTATTTGCATTTTACTCATTAGTTTCATCGGTGACCTATCTTCAAATTTTGACCACGAATTTATTTTGCGCTAAATTTTATAAATTTCAAATTTCAAAAAAATCTGTAGTGTGGAAATTTCGCAATAAATTTTTCGCTTTTAAAAAAATCACACACTACAGAATTTTTTTAAACTTTCACAACAGTTGCAGAGCATCATTCCTTATTGATATATGAAATAAAAAAGATAGGTCACCGACATCGTTTTTGAGATAGCGGCACATTTATGGGTTAAATTGGAAGGCTTTATGCTGTCGTCATGTTGCCATGGGAACATTGACATCGTCGAAATCTAGTTCGAAATATTCCTTAGGTGACCAATATTACCACCAAGTCGAAAAGAATTCGTGTTCTGCACGAATAAGCCTGTTTTACGGAATTATTGCTTAAACAAGAATAACTGTAGGGAGCCACCTTAAGGGAAAAATTCAGGAGTAAAACTTTGGTAGAAATTTTTGGAGTAACATTCAGGTTTAATATGTTGGTGGAAGATTTGGGTGTAAAATTGAGGTGTAAAATTTTGTTTGAAGATTGTGTAAAATTCAGGTTGAAAATTTTGGTTCAAAATTCAGAGGTAAAATTTAGGTGCAAAATTTTGGTTGAAGATTTCGGTGTAAAATGCAGGTCTAAAATTTTGGATGAAAATTTACGTGTAAAACTCAGGTGTAAAATTTTGGGTGAAAATTTAGGTGTAAAGTTCAGGTGTAAGATTCAGGTTTAAAATTTTGGTTGAACATTTGGGTGTAAAATTCAGCTGTAAATTTTGGTTGAAGAATTAAGTGTAAAACTCAGGCGTAAAAGTTTGGTTGACATTTTTGGTGTAAATTCAGGTTTAAAATTTCGGTTGAAGCATTGGGTGTGAAATTGAGGTGTAAAGATTTGGTTGAAGATTTAAGTGTAAAATTCATGTTGAAAATTTTGGTTCAAAATTTAGGGTCAAAATTTAGGTGTAAAATTTTGGTTGAAGATTTGGGTGTAAAATTCAGGTGCAATATTTTGGATGAATATTTGGGTGTAAAATTCAGGTTGAAAATTTTAGTTGTAAATTTAGGTGTAAAGTTCAGGTGTAACATTTTGGGTGAAAATTTTGATGTAAAATTTTCGTTCAAGATTTGAGTGTAAAATTCAGGTGTAAAATTTTGATTGAAGATGTGGGTGTAAAACTCAGCTGTAATATTTTAGGTGAAAATGTGGGTGTAAAATTCAGGTTTAAAATTTTGGTCGAAGTTTTGGGCTTAAAATTCAGCTTGAAAAGTTCGGTTGTAAATTTAGGTGTAAAATACAGGCGTAAAATTTTGGTTGAAGATTTTGGTGTAAAATTCAGCTGTAATATTTTGGATAAATATTTGGGTGTAAAATTCAGGTTGAACATTTTGAATGTAAATTTAGGTTTAAAATTCAGGTGTAAAATTTTCGTTGAAGATTTCGGTATAAAGTTCAGGTGTAATTTTTGGACGAATATTTACGTGTGAAATTCAGGTGTGAAATTTTGCCTGAAAATTTAGTTGTAAAATACAGTTGTTAAAATTTTGAATCAAGATTTGGGTGTAAAATTCAGGGGTAAAATTTGGTTGAAAGTTTGGGTTCAAAATTCAGGTTTAAAACTTTGGTAGAAGATTTGGGTGTAAAATACAGCTTTAAAATTTTGGTTGAAGATTTGGGTGTAAAATTCAGCTGTAAACTTTTGGTTGAAGATTTGAATGTAAAATTCAGGTGTAAAATTTTGGTTGAAGATTTGGGTGTAAAACTCAGCTGTAAAATTTTAGTTGAAAATTTGGGTGTAAATTCAGATTTAAATTTTGGCTGAAAATTTGGGCTTCAAATTCAGCTTGAAAATTTTGGTTGTAAATTTAGGAGTAAAATTCAGGTGTAAAATTATGGTTGAATATTTCAGTATCAAATTCAGGTGTAAAATTTTGGATGAAAATTTCCGTGTAATATTCAGGTGTGAAATTTTGGTTGAAAATTTATGTGTAAAACTCAGTTGTTAAAATTTTGATTCAAGATTTGCGTGTAAAATTCAGGTGTAAAATTTGGTTCAAGATTTGGGTGCAAAATTCAGGTTTAAAATTTTGGTAGAAGATTTGGGTGTAAAATACAGGTTTAAAATTTTGGTTGAATATTTGGGTGTAAAATTCAGCTGTAAAATTTTGGTTGAAAATTTAAGCGTAAAATTCAGGTTGAAAATTTTGGTTCAAAATTTAGGTGTAAAATTTTGGATGAAGATTGGGGTGTATATTTCAGGTTTAAAATTTTGGTTGAAGATTTGGGCTTTAAATTCGGCCTGAAATGTTCGGTTGTAAATTTAGGTACACAATTCAGGTGTAAAATTTTGGTTGAAAATTTCGGTGTAAAATTCAGGTGTAATATTTTGGATAAATATTTGGGTGTAAAATTCAGTTTGAAAATTTTGGTTGTAAATTTAGGTGTACAATTCAGGTGTAAAGTTTTGGTTGAAGAGTTCGGTATAAATTTCAGGTGTAAAATTTTGGATGAAAATTTACGTGTAAAATTCAGGTGTGAAATCTTGGCTGAAAATTTAGGTGTAAAATTCAGGTGTAAAATTTTTTAGTTGAAGATTTCGGTATAAAGTTCAGGTGTAAAATTTTAGATGAAAATTTGCGTGTAAAATTCAGGTGTAAAGTTTGGTTGAAGATTTGGGTGCATAATTCAGGTTTAAAACTTTGGTAGAAGATTTGGGTGTAAAATACAGGGTGTAAAATTCAGGTGTAATATTTTGGATAAATATTTGGGTGTAAAATTCAGTAGTATAGGAACTGAGGTTTCTAGACCATTGGCAATTTTTCTAGACCACCAGTTTTTTATCTTTAGTAAAAATCATTTATTTTTATTATATTAAAATTAATGGTTGGTACATTTAATTGGAATGTGAAACTGCTATTCTTGTTTTTTCATTTAACTTATCTCAAAGCTTCGGCGTCCAGCTGAGACTCTAATACGATTATCCTACACTTTCCCAATATCGTCCAACCTTCCTATTCCAAAGCCTCTTCGACAACTTTTATTCTCTCCTTGGGGGTACACAAGGCAGGGGGCCCTTGCAGTCCGGATACACTGTTGGCGTCATCCTTTTTACCCTGTGTGGTCACCTCAACCTTAATATCATTGGATACAGAGAAATTTATGTCTCCAGACTTCCCAGTTCTATTAGACCTCTTACGACAGCCACATATTTTACCAATACATGAGAAAAATGACCGCCACTTTGACATTATACCTTATAGTACAACAAATGTTAAGCACCCGACCCTGAGTATCGAAGTGACCAGCAAAAAGACAAGTCCATACTAGAACCGGTTGGCATTGAGTGTTCTGGTTTAACTATAATACACCAGGCAAGCGTATTATCTACCAGCTCAACCTGATTTCCTAAATAGAACATACTATTACCCTTGAATACATAGCAAGCTGTACTTCCACCATTACTTGTGTAAGTTCCATTGAACCAAGTGTGTGACAGTCTTCTTAAGTCTACTGTTCTCAGAGTAATTTCCTTCTTAACCTGTGTATATTTTCCATTAGATTGTTTTTCCCATACAGTAGCCCACAGGATTAGAGCTAGTGGTATATTTAAAACAGTTGAAAGACTTGGGAAATCTGATTTAATAGTAATTGATTCAAGGTTGAGGTCTGTCATATTATTAATAGGATCTGTTCTCCATGAAGGTGGAATCTGGTCGTGACAGTAAGCATAGTACCTTGTTGCTGCAACTGATACGCCACGATAACCCCAGATCCATTCTGCGTGAATGTGACGGTTTATTCTTACGTATCTCTTATCGGCCACTGCTTGAGTTAGACCTGTGGAAGGTTTTAGGAAATTCTTTTCTACCCATTGCTTGTTAACTGCATCCTTATCATTTACCGGATCCTTTAGATCAAGAATACCACTTGAATCTCCCATATCCAAATCACCCTTTACCAGTCCACCTCTACTACTCATGAACTCATTAGTTGCCCACCTTTTATTGACAGCTGAACCATCAGTTGTAGGATCACCTACCCTAGTTAACTCATAATCGTTAACATCAAGATTACTATCTAGAGTACCACCATTTCGCTTCAGGAACTGTTTACACCAGGAGCTCATAGCCTTATAGGAAACTGCAGCTGCGTCCCCAGCTGATCCACTTTTGAGACCTGTGATACTATGTCCCCCCATGTCAATATTACCTGTCATAGTGAACCCGCTACTACTAATTGAACTTCCAGAGACATGATCGGTGACCCATTTTTTGGAAACAGCAGAATTATCAGTTGTAGGAGCACCTAATTTTATTATTTCATTGTTTCCCATATCAAGGTTGTCAGATAGAGTAAGACCACTACAAGTCTCACGCTTACTTCTACCTCCACTAATCTTATCTTCTACCCACTTTTTGTTAACAGCAGATGTATCAGCACTAGGAGCCCCAATATTTTTAATTTCATTTCCACCCATCTTGAGAACACCGGGCATTTCATTTGAACCGTCCAGTTTTAGGGAAAAGCGTGAAATTTGGTTAATAACAGTTTGAATATTTGGAACAGCTATTTTTGCACCAAGGTTGTTGATCGTATAGATTGAATTACCATTTGCAACGGTTAGATCACCATTTAAAGTGAATCCTGATGTAACCCACCTCTTACTAACAGCAGATGTACTTGAACTAGGGTCACCTATATTTTTAATTTCATTTCCACCCATCTTAAGAGCACCTGTCATTGTAAAACCTGAAGATTTAGCATATGTAGAATCAAGCGTAGATATTTTATCTTCAATCCACTTTTTTGATACAACCTCACTATCGAGTTTAGGGTCAATAATATCAAACAATCTCCAACCTCCCATGGACACATAAAAAATTTTTACACTAATAGTATAGGAAAATGGATTGGCTTCAAATGGTAACACCTGAGGAAGTAGTAGCCCTAGGAAAAAGGGTAGACACAATAGAAGAGTTAGAAGCTGCAGTTAAAAAGTATGTGGAACTAAGAATAATAAGAAGACGTTTAAATACACCCCGAAAATCAGCAGAAAATTTTCACACTAATAGTATAGGTAAATGGACTGGCTTCAAACAGTGACACCAGAGGAAGTAGTACTAGTAGGCAGCAAACTAAACACCATAGAAGAGCTAGAGGTATCAGTAAGAAAGTACGTGGAAAGAAGAATAAAGAGAAAACACACATACGACCTGGTATGCAGCGAATGTGGGAGTAAGTCTATTGTAATGATAGATGGGGCAGATACATGCACACAGTGTGGTACTAGTAATATGAATAACTTCTCATACTACGTTAGTTACAACTACAACAAGGACGACTATCTGAAAAAGAAGTCTTGTCACAACAGAGTCCGCTGGTTTGAGAGGCACTTATTCGAACATGTTGCTTCTAGGGATAGGGACATCATAAGGGAGCAGTTCAGAAGTATAGTAAGATGTATACAAAGACTTAGACTACAAAGGGGGCGCAACATAGTTAGATACAAGTTTTACCTACTGAGGATAGCCAGTATGAATGGTATCTCCCTGAAGAACCCTCCTGAGGACATTAAGACCCAAAGGATTGTGGACATCCTTGAGGATAGATTGTATGGGAAAGTTTTTGTTGAGCTTGGATGGAAACCTGAGAAGTGTGAATATTATAATAAATGGAAAAGTAAAAACACTTAAAGAAATATTAATATAATAAATCAATATAATTAAACAATAAATTAAACCAAAAATAAAAACACTTAAAGATATACCGATATAATAAACCAATAGAATTAAACAAAAATAAAATCACTTAAAGATATACTGATATAATAAATTAATAGAATTAAATAATAAATTAAACCAAAAACAAAAGCACTTAAAGATATACTGATATAACAAATTATAGAATAAAACAATAAATTAAATTAAAAATAAATTCGAAATAAATTATTAATTAAATACTCCAATTTATTTTTACACATATAGTATAGAGGAACTGACAGAAAAACATGGCGAGTTATTTTGATATAAACGAATTCAGCGTAGAACAGCTTATGGCTCTCAATAGTATCATAGATAGTGACGACGATATGGATACAAGGGTGGAGAACATCATGGCCGACAGAAACTACAGGATCGCACCTGATGATAAGGGCAAAAGTCCCTTTGAAGGAGAAAGACAATTCGTAGACGAAGTTGACGGGTGATATGGAGGTAAAGAAACCCAGATGCATTCCTTTGAACTATAAGGGAAGAAGAGGAATTATGCCAACGTGGAAGTACTCTGACAGGCAAAAGACAAAGGCCCTACTTGTAGAGGAGGCATACCAAAATCTACTAGCAAGAGGCGTTCAGGGATTACCACCAACAATGGGAGGCAGATGGCGCACAGATGATCCTCAAGTAAACGAGGAAATCAAGAGGATTGAAAATGAAAGGAATCCCAAGACTAAGCGTCCCAGAGGTAGACCACCAAAGGTAAAGTCTGATGCCGAAGTGAAGATTCCTAAAAAGAGAGGTAGACCACCAAAGGTAAAGTCCGATGCTGAAGTGAAGGTTCCCAAAAAGAGAGGTAGACCACAAAAGGCAAAGACTGATGCTGAAGTGAAGGTTCCAAAAAAGAGAGGTAGACCACCAAAGGCAAAGCCTAATGTTAAGGTTAGAAAGCAAACTGTAGCCGAAAGATTCCTGAGTCAAAGAAAGGTAAAACTCTCGGTACCAGCTGATAGTGTGATAACACCAACAGGTCCTGGTAAGTTTACAATTCACGTGGATCTTAATAAGAGACCTGTGAGGAAAGCTCCTGAGGTACCTAAGGGTGTAGCTCCATGGAGACCTGTACCTAAGCCTAGAACGGTACTTCCTAAGGAAAGACCTGTACCGAAACCTAGAACTAAGCTTCTTAAGGAAAGACCTGTACCGAAACCTAGGACTAGGAAACCAGTGTCTTCTCCTAAAGTCCGTAAGCCTGTAAGAGTGTCGAGGGAAGTCAAGGAGCAGCCTATAGTGGTTACACCAGAGGAACACGAAATAGATCCATTCGGAACAGACCTTGAAAAGCCATTCCACAGGAAAATCGAAACAGCCGCAAATGGAGCCGCTGTGACTTACTCGATAACTCCTCATTATATGGACCCCCTGGACCAGATGACCGCAAGTAGACAGGTAGTGAGAGGAATACTTGTGAACGAGTTGAAGAGAATGGGTGGGTTGAAGTACACAGAGACTCTGAAGGTGAGAATGTCAAAGGAAATTGGTGACGGGAAAACCAAGAAGGACTCAGTCTACTTCAAATCTAAGACTGGTACTGCAACTAACTTCGAGGATATTGAAAGTACTGCTGCTCAAAACCAACTGACAATATTGTCTAGAATTGAAACCTTCCAAAACTTAGGTTCAAACTGGATTATACTCAATATTGAGAGTCATTACGTAAACATTGCAATGTATAAACCATTAAGGGGTAGTTCATATATGAAACTTCCAGGGGACATTAGTAATCCAAAGTGCGGGCTCATCAATATGAAGAACAATGACAACCTGTGTTTTGTGTGGAGTCATGTAAGACATCTGAGACCAAAAGCCAGGAGAGCAACCACTATCACACAAAAAGATAGGGAATTCATAATGAACCTGGACTATGACGGTATAGACTTCCCTGTGAAGATAAGTGACATCGACAGAATTGAGAGGAAAAATAGTATCAACATATCGGTGTTCGGTTACAGTGGTAAGAAACAGTTCTACCCCATAAGGAACTGAAAGGCTAAACATGATGAGCATATGGAGCTCCTACTCCTGGGTGATAGTGAAGGTAGTAGACATTACGTTCTCATAAAGGATGTAAACAGGATGCTCTTCAGTGTAAGTAAACATACAAATAAGAAGCACTTCTGTCTACACTGTCTTCATAGTTGTGTGAGCAAAGAGGTACTGGAGAAGCATAAGGAAACATGTCTGGAGGTAAACGGAACTCAGGCCATAAATCTTCCCAAGGAAGGGACAAAAATCAAGTTCAAAAATCACAGGAACTCAATGCCTGTACCGTTTGTGATATACGCTGATTTTGAGTCCATACTAGTACCAGAGGAGAGAAAAGTGAACTTAGAGAACCCTGAGGATAAAAGTAGTACAGACCTTTACCAGACACACAAGGCTTGTAGTTTTGGTTTGAAAACAGTCTGCCACTATGATGATAAGTACTCCGGTGAGTATAAGAGTTACATTGGAGAGGATGCTGCATTGGTCTTCCTAAAGACTGTATTAAAAGAGTCCTTCAGATGTAGAGAGATGGTCAACAATATATTCAAGAAGATGGTAATTACACCCAAACAGGAATTCGAATTCCAGGCTGCAAGAAACTGTTCAATATGTGGTAACGACCTTGGTGAGGATAGGGTAAGGGACCACGACCATGTAACAGGAATGTACCGTGGAGCTGCTCATAATATATGTAATCTGAAGTACAGAATTACATGGAAAGTACCTGTGGTCTTCCACAACCTGAGAGGTTACGATAGTCATCTGATTATGCAGGAAATTGGTAAGTTTAAGATGAACGTTAATGTGATCCCAAATAATATGGAAAAATACATCTCATTCTCACTAGGTAAAAATCTGGTCTTCATAGACTCTATACAGTTTATGGCTTCTTCACTGGAAGCATTGGTGAGTAACCTTTCACCTGAGGACTTCAAAATAGTAGGTAAGAGGTGGAAGGGTGAGGACTTCAACCTAGTAACACAAAAAGGAGTGTTCCCTTATGAGTTCCTCGATAATATTAGCAAGCTTGATACTGAAGGTCTACCGAGTAAGGATAAGTTCTACTCATCACTGTATGAGTCAGAGGTGAAGGAAGAAGATTACCAAAGAGCTCAAAAAGTGTGGGATCACTTCAAGATGAAAACCTTGAGAGACTACCACGATCTCTACTTGGAGACTGACGTTCTTGTACTAGCTGATGTATTTGAAAACTTTAGGAGAACATGTCTGGAAAGTTATGAACTTGACCCCGCACATTACATGTCAGCACCTAGTCTAAGTTGGGACGCTTTTCTAAAACAGTCAAGTGAAGAAATAGAACTTGTAAGTGATATGGATATGTTCCAGTTCTTCGAGAAGGGTATGAGGGGTGGTACAAGTTATATTGCTCATAGACACTCAGCAGCTAATAATAAGTACATGGAGACGTACGATGAGTCATCTGAGAACAAGTACTTAATGTACCTCGATGCTAATAATTTATATGGCTGGGCAATGTCACAACCACTACCTAATGGAGAGTTCGAGTGGGTTGAGGAAGTTGATGGTATGAATCTAGAGGATTACTTGGGAGACAACAAAAGGGGAATGGTTTTGGAGGTCTACATAACGGTTATCCTCTAGCACCGGAGGGTAAGGAAATCAGTGCTTCTATGTTGTCAGATTATGCGAAGAGTATTGCTGAGAAATTCCAACTGAAAATTGGAGGAGTAAGAAAACTAGTGACTTCACTTGGTCCCAGGAAAAATTACGTCTTACATGTACGTAATCTGAAACTGTACACAGACCTTGGGATGAAACTCACAAAGGTCCATAGAGCGGTTACGTTCAAGCAGTCTCCCTGGCTTAAGAACTATATAGACTTCAATACGAAGAAAAGGTCTGCAGCCCGTAATACGTTCGAAAAGAACTTCTTCAAGTTGATGAATAATTCAATTTACGGAAAGACTATGGAAAATCTTAGGAAAAGGGTTGATGTGAAATTAGTGTCCTCCAAAGACGACCTCCTGAAACTGACAGCGTCACCTTGCTTCCAGTCACATCGAATCATGAATGAGAATCTCATAGTGGTAAAGAGGATGAAAGAAGTTCTAACGCTAAATAAACCATGTTACGTAGGAATGAGCATCTTAGACTTATCCAAGACTTTAATGTACGATTTCCACTACAACACCATCAAGAAGGAGTACGGTAATAGTTCAAGGCTACTGTTCACTGATACTGACAGTCTAATTTATGAACTGAAGACGGATGTTGTTTATGAGGACTTTAAGAGAATTGGTGAAAAGCAAAACTGTTGGGATAATTCAGATTATCCAAAGGATTCTCCGTACTACTCAACTCACAACAAGAAGGTTATAGGTAAGTTTAAGGATGAAGCTGAAGGAGTACCTATAATTGAGTTTGTTGGGTTGAGGTAAAAAATGTATTCCTATGTAAAGGAAAACGGTGGAGGTGGAATGACCGCTAAAGGAGTTAAAAAGTATGTCATCAGAAACAAGCTCACTCACGAGAACTTTAAGAATGTAATTAATACGAAAGGTAGGATGAGACATAATATGAATACAATCAGAAGTGTAAAACACGAAATTGGAACTTATGAATTAAAGAAGGTTACTCTTAGCTGTTTTGATGATAAAAGATACTTACTTGAAGATGGAGTTACAAGTTACGCTTATGGACACCACGCAATTGGAAAAACAGACGTTGAAGGGGTGATTGAAGAAAAAATAGAACCTAGCTGTGTACCAGTAAGAGTGGAAGAAAAAACTGATAAGTACTACCCCAGATTACCATTTAAGGTTGTGGTGCCTATTAAAAGGTGGAAGTTCAAAAAACTGCAACCGTTAAGAAAACTTGTACCTGATATTAATCATATAAAGAACAACCTGGATATACTACCTCCAGAATCGAAGGAAGATTTGAAAATGTTAATGAAACTAAAAGCACAGACGTTAGGTGTGGCACTTGTAAGAAGCAACACCAAAAATGGACGTGGTGTAGTTCTTGTAGGGTACTAATCAGTGCTTCAAAACTAGTATCCAACAACTTTACAAAAAGGATGTGTGTACCCTCAAGGAGGAAATAAAAGATGTTGAAAAGGCTTTGGAATAGGAAGGTTGGACGATATTGGGAAAGTGTAGGATAATCGCATTAGAGTCTCAGCTGGACCCCGAAGCTTTGAGATAAGTTAAATGAAAAAACAAGAATAGCAGTTTCACATTCCAATTAAATGTACCAACCATTAATTTTAATATAATAAAAATAAATGATTTTTACTAAAGATAAAAAACTGGTGGTCTAGAAAAATTGCCAATGGTCTAGAAACCTCAGTTCCTATACTACTAAATTCAGGTTGAAAATTTTGGTTGTAAATTTAGGTGTAAAATTCAGGTGTAAAATTTTGGTTGAAGATTTCGGTATAAAATTCAGGTGTAAAATTTTGGACAAAAATTTACGTGTAAAATTCATGTGTGAAATTTTGGCTGAAGATTTAGGTGAGAAATTCAGTTGTTAAAATTTTGATTCAAGATTTGCATGTAAAATTCAGGTGTAAAATTTGGTTGAATATTTGGGTGTAAAATTCAGGTGTAAAATTTTGGTTGAAGATTTCGGTATAAAGTTCACGTGTAAATTTTGGATGAAAATTTAGGTGTAAAATTCAGGTGTGAAATTTTGGCTGAAAATTTAGATGTAAAATTCAGGTGTAAAATTTTTTAGTTGAACATTTCAGTATAAAGTTCAGGTGTAAAATTTTGGATTAAAATTTGCGTGTACATTTCAGGTGTAAAATTTGGTTGCAGAATTTGGGTGCATAATTCAGGTTTAAAACTTTGGTAGAAGATTTGGGTGTAAAATACAGGGTGTAAAATTCAGCTGTAAAATTTTGGTTGAAAATTTAAGCGTAAAATTCAGGTTGAAAATTTTGGTTAAAAATTTAGGTGTAAAATTTTGGATGAAGATTGGGGTGTAGATTTCAGGTTTAAAATTTTGGTTGAAGATTTGGGCTTTAAATTCGGCCTGAAATGTTCGGTTGTAAATTTAGGTGCACAATTCAGGTGTAAAATTTTGGTGTAAAATTTCGGTGTAAAATTCAGGTGTAATATTTTGGATAAATATTTGGGTGTAAAATTCAGGTTGAAAATTTTGGTTGTAAATTTAGGTGTACAATTCAGGTGTAAAATTTTGGTTGAAGATTTCGGTATAAAGTTCACATGTAAAATTTTGGATGAAAATTACGTGTAAAATTCAGGTGTGAAATTTTTGGCTGAAAATTTAGGTGTAAAATTCAGGTGTAAAATGTTTTAGTTGAAGATTTCAGTATAAAGTTCAGGTGTAAAATTTTGGATGAAAATTTGCGTGTAAAATTCAGGTGTAAAGTTTGGTTGAAGATTTGGGTGCATAATTCAGGTTTAAAACTTTGGTAGAAGATTTGGGTGTAAAATACAGGGTGTAAAATTCAGGTGTAATATTTTGGATAAATATTTGGGTGTAAAATTCAGGTTGAAAATTTTGGTTGTAAGTTTAGGTGTAAAATTCAGGTGTAAAGTTTTGGTTGAAGATTTCGGTATAAATTTCAGGTGTAAAATTTTGGATGAAAATTTAAGTGTAAAATTCAGGTGGGACATTTTGGCTGAAAATTTAGGTGTAAAATTCAGGTGTAAAATTTTTTAGTTGAAGATTTCGGTATAAAGTTCAGGTGTAAAATTTTGGATGAAAATTTGCGTGTAAAATTCAGGTGTAAAATTTGGTTGCAGATTTGGGTGCATAATTCAGGTTTAAAACTTTGGTAGAAGATTTGGGTGTAAAATACAGCTGTAAAATTTTGGTTGAAAATTTAAGCGTAAATTTCAGGTTGCAAATTTTGGTTGAAAATTTATGTGTAAAATTTTGAATGAAGATTGGGGTTCAGAATTCGGGTTTAAAATTTTGGTTGAAGATTTGGGCTTAAAATTCAGCTTGAAAAGTTCGGTTGTAAATTTAGGTGCAAAATTCAGGTGTAAAATTTTGGTTGAAGATTTCGGTGTGAAGTTCAGGTGTAATAATTTGGATAAATATTTGGGTGTAAAATTCAAGTTGAAAATTTTGGTTGTAAATTGAGGTGTAAAATTCAGGTGTAAAATTTTGGGTGAAAGTTTAGGTGTAAAATATTGGTTGAAGATTGGAATGTAAAATTCAGCTGTAAAATTTTAGTTGAAAATTTGGGTGTAAAATACAGGTTTAAAATTTTGGTTGAAGATTTGGGTGTAAAATGCACATGTAAAATTTTGGTTGACAATTTAAGCGCAAAAATTCAGGTTGAAAATTTTGGTTGAAAATTTAGGTTTAAAATTTTGGATGAAGATGGGGGTGTAGAATTCAGGTTTAATATTTTGGTTGAAGATTTGGGCTTAATATTCGTCTTGAAAAGTTCGGTTGTACATTTAGGAGTAAAATTCAGGTGTAAAATTTGATTGAAAATTTGGGTGCAAAATTCAGGTTTAAAATTTTGGTAGAAGACTTGGGTTTAAAATACGGGTCTAAAATTTTGGTTGAAGATGTGGGTGTAAAATTCAGGTTTAAAATTTTGGATGAAGATTGGGGTGTAGAATTCAGTTTTAAAATTTTGGTTGAAGATTTGGGCTTAAAATTCATCTTGAAAAGTTCGGTTGTCAATTTAGGTGCAAAATTCAGGTGTAAAATTTTGGTTGAAGATTTCGGTGTAAAGTTCAGGTGTAATAATTGGATAAATATTTGGGTGTAAAATTCAAGTTTAAAATTTTGGTTGTAAATTTACGTGTAAAATTCAGGTGTAAAATTTTGGGCGAAAGTTTAGGTGTAAAATTTTGGTTGAAGATTTGAATGTAAAATTCAGGTATAAAATTTTGGTTGAAGATTTGGGTGTAAAACTCAGCTGTAAAATTTTGGTTGAAAATTTAAGCGTAAAGTTCAGGTTGAAAATTTTGGTTCCAAATTTAGGTGTAAAATTTTGGATGAAGATTTGGTGTAGAATTCAGGTTTAAGATTTTGGTTGAAGATTTGGGCTTAAAATTAGCTTCAAAAGTTCGGTTGTAAATTTAGGTGCAAAATTCAGGTGTAAAATTTTGGTTGAAGATTTCGGTGTAAAGTTCAGGGTAATAATTTGGATAAATATTTGGGTGTAAAATTCAAGTTGAAAATTACGGTTGTAAATTTAGGTGTAAAATTCAGGTGTAAAATTTTGGTTGAAGATTTGGGTGTAAAACTCAGCTGTAAAATTTTAGTTGAAAATTTGGGTGTAAATTCACATTTAAACTTTGGCTGAAAATTTGGGTGTAAAACTCTGCTGTAATATTCTCGATGAATATTTGGGTGTAAAATTCAGGTTGAAAATTTTGGTTGTAAATGTAGGTGTAAAATTCAGGTGTGAAATTTTGGTTGAAGATTTCGGTGTGAAGTTCAGGTGTAATAATTTGGATAAATATTTGGGTGTAAAATTCAAGTTGAAAATTTTGGTTGTAAATTGAGGTGTAAAATTCAGGTGTAAAATTTTGGGTGAAAGTTTAGGTGTAAAATATTGGTTGAAGATTGAAATGTAAAATTCAGCTGTAAAATTTTAGTTGAAAATTTGGGTGTAAAATACAGGTTTAAAATTTTGGTTGAAGATTTGGGTGTAAAATGCACATGTAAAATTTTGGTTGACAATTTAAGCGCAAAAATTCAGGTTGAAAATTTTGGTTGAAAATTTAGGTTTAAAATTTTGGATGAAGATGGGGGTGTAGAATTCAGGTTTAATATTTTGGTTGAAGATTTGGGCTTAATATTCGTCTTGAAAAGTTCGGTTGTACATTTAGGAGTAAAATTCAGGTGTAAAATTTGATTGAAAATTTGGGTGCAAAATTCAGGTTTAAAATTTTGGTAGAAGACTTGGGTTTAAAATACGGGTCTAAAATTTTGGTTGAAGATGTGGGTGTAAAATTCAGGTTTAAAATTTTGGATGAAGATTGGGGTGTAGAATTCAGTTTTAAAATTTTGGTTGAAGATTTGGGCTTAAAATTCATCTTGAAAAGTTCGGTTGTCAATTTAGGTGCAAAATTCAGGTGTAAAATTTTGGTTGAAGATTTCGGTGTAAAGTTCAGGTGTAATAATTGGATAAATATTTGGGTGTAAAATTCAAGTTTAAAATTTTGGTTGTAAATTTACGTGTAAAATTCAGGTGTAAAATTTTGGGCGAAAGTTTAGGTGTAAAATTTTGGTTGAAGATTTGAATGTAAAATTCAGGTATAAAATTTTGGTTGAAGATTTGGGTGTAAAACTCAGCTGTAAAATTTTGGTTGAAAATTTAAGCGTAAAGTTCAGGTTGAAAATTTTGGTTCCAAATTTAGGTGTAAAATTTTGGATGAAGATTTGGTGTAGAATTCAGGTTTAAGATTTTGGTTGAAGATTTGGGCTTAAAATTAGCTTCAAAAGTTCGGTTGTAAATTTAGGTGCAAAATTCAGGTGTAAAATTTTGGTTGAAGATTTCGGTGTAAAGTTCAGGGTAATAATTTGGATAAATATTTGGGTGTAAAATTCAAGTTGAAAATTACGGTTGTAAATTTAGGTGTAAAATTCAGGTGTAAAATTTTGGTTGAAGATTTGGGTGTAAAACTCAGCTGTAAAATTTTAGTTGAAAATTTGGGTGTAAATTCACATTTAAATTTTGGCTGAAAATTTGGGTGTAAAACTATGCTGTAATATTCTCGATGAATATTTGGGTGTAAAATTCAGGTTGAAAATTTTGGTTGTAAATGTAGGTGTAAAATTCAGGTGTGAAATTTTGGTTGAAGATTTCGGTGTAAAATTTAGGTGTAAAATTTTTGATGAAAATGCACGCGTAAAATTCAGGAGTAAAATTTTTGGTGAAAAGTTAGATGTAAAATTCAGGTATAAAATTCAGGTTTGAAATTTTCTTTGAAAATTTGGCTGTAAAATTCAGGATGAAAATTTCGGTAGAATATTTAGGTGTAAAATTCTGTCGTAAAATTTTGGTTGAATATTTGGGTGTAAAATGCAGGTGTAAAATTTTGGTTGAAATTTTTTGTGTAAAATTCAGGTTTAAAATGTTGCATGTTGAAATTTGGGTGAAAAGTTGAGGTGTAAAATTTTGGTTGAAGATTTAAATGTAAAATTCAGGTTGAAAATTTTGGTTCAAAACTTAGGGGTAAAATTTAGGAGTAAAGTTTTGGTTAAAGATTTGGGTGTAAAATACAGCTTTAAAATTTTGGTTGAAAATTTGGGTGTAAAACTCAGCTGTAATATTTTGGATGAATATTTGGTTGCAAAACTCAGGTTGAAAATTTTGTTTGTAAATTTAGGTGTAAAATTTTGGTTCAAGATTTGGGTGTAAAATTCAGGCGTAAAATTTTGGTTGAAGATTTGGGTGTAAAATTCAGCAATAAAATTCTGGCGGAAAATTTGGGTGTAAAGTTCATGTTTAAAATTTTAGTCAAAAATTTGGGTTTAAAATTCAGCTTGAAAATTTCGGTTGTAAATTTAGGTGTAAAATTACGGTGTAAAATTTTGGTTGAAGGTTTCGGTGAAAAATTCAGTTGTAATATTTTGGATGAATATTTGAGTGTAAAATTCACCTTGAATATTTTGGTTATGAATTTAGGTGTAAAGTTCAGGGGCCGGTTGTATAAAAACGTAATTAGCGCTAACTGTAGTTAGCGTTAATCACTGTAGTTAAATCCTTAACTGTAATTAGTTAACTACATGACTTAACTGCGTTGCACAAAACGTAGTTAGTGGGATAGTTAACTAATCACGTAGTTAACTGTGCGTGGGGCGTTTAAACACAAAATTACATAAAGTAAGCAGCGAATAACGACCACTGACACACATTTTCAACATGATTGTCAACTCGTGTTTTGCAAATAGGCGGGAATTTTATTCAAAACACTAGAAAACAGTGAAAAATATACAAGAAAACAAGGAAAAACCGCCACAAAAATCATAAAAGAATGCAGTTTTTCCTTGAGATGCCTACGTTAAACCAAGGTATAGCTGTTTGGCAATTATATATCAGTGTTTCTTGGTGTAATGGACCATACTTCGTCTTCGAGAAATCGTCCTGTGCAAAAATATGTTCTGTTTTCGTAAAAACACCAAAGCGATAGCGTTTGAAGAGTTTATATTGTCAGGAAACATTCACAGGGAAGATAGCGATTGAAAATCTCAGGTAACCGTTGCTTTTCATTGTTGTTTTATTGAAAAATGTTGTTCACTCCTACACAAACGCCATTTTTAACTACGTTTTGGACAGTTAACTATACCCTAAAGCATAGTTAACTTTAGGCCACATAAAATAAATTCCTTGATTCTCATCACTAGAATTTGAAAATGTCGAAGAGCCGGGAGGTTTATATTTTATATTTTATATTTATATAATTTATCATCAATAAATAAAAAACTGATTCCTAACATTTAATATTTCTGTGATTTCCAAAGTGAAGTGTCACAAACCAAAATGAACATATTTCTCCATGAACAATGACTGAACCCTTCAACTGAATGCGAAGTTCCGTTAAAATGCAATGAAATTTCTTTCAAGGTTCTATTTGTTTGAAATTGGCAGTTTAAAATGGCACTAAAAACCCAATTTTAAATATAAAAAACTTAACTGTCTTGAAATATTTTGTCGCGCGGTTCATTTATATATGGGGCGCCAAATGTGTTTTTATTATTTAAACGTTTTATGTCACATTTTTATATGATTTATTTTGGTTATATCAAATAACCACTTTTTGTCGAAACGATTTATTTCGGTTATATCAAATAACCACTTTTGTCGGCATGATTTATTTTGGTTATATCAAATAACCACTTTTTGTTTGTCGAAACGATTTATTTCGGTTATATCAAATAACCACTTTTTGTCGAAACGATTTAATTTGGTTATATCAAATAACCACTTTTGTCGGCATGATTTATTTTGGTTATATCAAATAACCACTTTTTGACGACATGATTTATTTTATTATATCAAATAACCAAGATAATTTACGAACAATCGGCGCACAATATGAAGACAAAACACACTTAGCCACCACTCCCAGCGGCGTCTATTGTCAATTTTCCGAACGTTTCCGACGTTGTGGCATTCAGGCATATACCGTTTTGTAAATACGTTTTGTGGCCATTTCAATTCCTTCTTTCCCCGCGTTTGAAAGCATGGCTTCGGATAGATTGGCAAGGACGCTAAGCGAAGCAATTGGCAGAGCAATTCACGAAACGTTAAGGACCGAAGATGCCGAAGTAAGTTAAAACAAATTATCTTTAATATTATTCATCATTCATGTTTATGAATATTCATATAAATCGATGATTATCCGAATGGAATTTTTGCATATATTTTCACTGACAGCCATATTCATGAACAGAAGAACTTTATTGTGTTAATAATATGGGGTTTTCTCTCCCAGCAGCCATCACAAAGACAAAGAGATGGACAAGAACAACAGGTAAATCATTTACAGGTATTTTTAAGTCTAATAAATTATATAGCGCTATATAAAGAATCTGTATCCTATCATAGAATCGTATCTGGCAGAATAGACCTTTCCAAGGTTAAGGACGCCATCTTGAATCTATTGTTTTCACCATTGTGTTTGCACCTCTTGCAAATTAACCTATAGGGAATTCCTTTGTATTTTTTGCACCCCTTGCACTATTGTGTTTCATGATGGCGACGTTAACCTTGGAAATGTCTATTGTTTTTGCATTGTTGACCATCCAATCATCCATTGAAATTCCGCAAGTTTTAGTCATTTTTCATACCTACCATGTGAAATTTGTGCAGAGTTGTCTTAAAATTTGGACAAACCCATGGAAATTCCTCCTTTTGGCAGGCTATTGGAAATTCCACATGTCCTCAATAGGCAGGGGGGGGGGGAGTAAAAAGTGCAGTGGTCCAGTGTGGGTGTCAATACTTCCTTTGTTTGCTTTGTTCATTTCAGAAATGAAAGGAAACATTTAGCCCAGCTTCTCAGAGAATGAACATGTCATGAGATTATTTATGCTTACACTGTTATAACTTGTCACACTGTAATGTGAGTCCACATTGTTAAATTTCATGGTCGTCACTGAAAATATGTCTTGTTTCTGAACAGCTGCAGCAGTCACAGAGACCAGCTAGAGGGCAACTGGCAAATGATACACAGGTGAACTTAAAACACATATTATATGTATGCTGTCTTGGAATTTGTGATAGAGGATAATATACTTTTAACCCATTCAGCAATTAAAATATGCACATACTTTATCAAACCACCATGTTGTTGGTTAGCAGTATTGATTCATTCCAGAAAACATCCATACCACCCCCACAGAGGAACTATTACTATTAACATATTACTTACTATTAACAGAAACAATTTTTCCTCCCCCCCCCTCCACTCCTACGGACAGCAGAAATTTCCTCCACGGGGGGAGTACGGATCTTTTCTGGAACGAACAATTGCTGATAAAGAGTTTTTTTAATTGATCCACTCAAAAAATGTGATGGTATGAATAACATGGCCAGGGTGGCAAGAGATGATGAAATTTGTACACACTATTATGTGCTACAAGTTCTTGTAAATTTCAGCTAGGTTAACTATCTACAATATAAGGGATCATAGACCTGGCCTAGCATGAAAGAATTTTTTATCTAATTTTCCTTGTCATTGCAGCCAAGCCGACAGACAACTCTAGTAACAGTTGCAAGTCAGGTATCAGTCGTCAAGTTGCGACCACAAGTAACAGTCGCCAATCAAATCTGGTAAGTTAAGCATCAAATCTTGATTGATGGCCACAGGTTTGTCAGTGTGAACTCATTAATATGTGTTACCCTCTTGAAATAAAGGTTTCTATTTATTCATTTGATACCAATGTTAGATAATATCTTTTATATATTTTTTTGTGTGTGATGGTGTTATGTGCTCAGGTGAATATGATGTTTCCGGTGTTAATCGTACTGTAGGTTCGATTCCAACTGTGGCCAGGCATTGTTTCAGGACCTGCCTGGTGTGGATATACACTGATAGTAACACCAGAAAGATCATAGTAAAAGTTTATTTGGTCATACTTGATTATATGAAAGCAACACACCTCCAATTGTGTGGTGAAGGAAGGAAAGAAGCACCATTTGCATGTTGTAGAGATTTTTAAAAATTATTTGAATCTACATGTAGATCTATGCACGTTCATTGAGAACAAATAAAATACCACAAATTTTTCTTATGACATAGCACAGCACCATACACTATACACTTCTGTCTTATTTGTGTCTTTTCCCGATGGAAATAGTTATTTTTGTTTTCCTGGGAATCTCAATGTTTCCCAAGTTGATATTGCAATCAGTATTGCAATATTGCATGACAATCTTGCAATGTTGCTTGCAATGTTGCTTGCAAAGGAATGCTGGATTTGACTGTAATATTTCCTTAGCCAGGGACTCTTCCCTCACTTTTTGGTGGTAATGGGATACAATTTTCAAATGCTGGAGGAAGAAAAAGGAAAAGGTCAACAGCAAGTGTATCAAAACCAGGAAAGACCTACACAAAAGATGTGGTGTGCCTGTTGCCTTCAAGCAATGTGACAGACATCCCAATACCAAGAGGTGCTAATAGAGCTGAATTGTCAGATAAAGGTCTGATTGGAAAGGTCTCACTTAACTCCATCTGGACTGCAGAAGAGGTTGCTAGAGAATTAACAAGTATATTTGCAACCGCATTCAACTTGCAACCTGGTGAACTTTTACCATTTGATTACTTGGGGTAATTTACTTTTTGGGAAATATTTTTTACAGCCTCGTTCCCAGGCTCTACGGGAACCACTCAGTATTTTTATAAAATGCAAAAGAACAGTAACTCCGAATACCATTTTCTTTTGATTTATTGAATCTACGTTTCAACTAGATTGTAGTCATCTTCAGGATTGAATCCTGAAGATGACTACAATCTAGTCGAAATGTAGATTCAATAAATCAAAACAAAATGTTATTCGGAGTTACTGCTCTTTTGTATTATACCTTAAATAGTTAGGAAATCGTCAAGAATGCCCTCGCGAATGCCCAAATATTTGAAAAGGGCTGCATTATAGCGTTGAATACATGTGCGCGGTAAATTACGTCGTAATCAATTTACTGTTCTGTTTACTGTACAGTCGCCACAATGGCATCGTTTTCATGTGCTTATTCGCGCGTCCATGTGAATGTGATTGGTCCATTCTGGTTGGCGAAAAAATTCGGTGCGAAACATATTCCTGCCCGAAACATACAGATATAACCTTCAATCTTCATGTGCGCCCGCCGTGCTAAAACAGGCAAATATAGCTACAGGAAGAGTCAATTGGGGCAAAAGTGCAGTAAACAGTATAAAAGACTAGAGTCTATTCTGTTCAATTTGGATATGCTTTTGGTTACATATATTTTTATTACAACACGATTGTTTGCGTTCTAGTATAACGAAAGGGACAAAAAAATTGACTATTCCGAAGACGTCAAGATCGTTTACCTGGAATGCACCTGAAGTGGTATCCCTTTGTTCACAAGGATGCCTTTATATAAAGGCGAAAATCAAACCAAATATTGATGAAGATTCTGACGAAGACCCTGTTGTTGTGGAGGTAATGTAGCAGTTACTGTACCAGTTGAAGCTCGTACTAGGTTTGGGCGGAAATTCGATTTAAATTACGTTTTACATCTTTTTCAGTTCGACTTACTTAAGACATCTAGAATTAGTGAAACATTTCTCATTATTGTCAACCTCTTCCATCTTTTAATTTTTAATTGTTTTTTTACATAGTTTGAGTTTCTTTTGCATTGCATGCTTTTGGTTTTCTCTATCTTATCTATAAGCGTATCTAATTTTGTGTTGGTGGCAAACGTACCATGCCCTTCCTCCCCACCTAGTGCTATACTTCAACGTCACGTTGTGGGACCTAAAATCGGTCCAGCTCCGACCAGGGTGTTTCCTTCCCAAAAGGAAAGAACCTAAGAACGAGGTTCATCATTTTTCTGATGCGCAGGATGATGAACAAAGAAAAGAATCAGATGAGCAAGAGTGTTTGGAGAGTGTGTCTGACAGTGATATTATAAACATACATCCCCTGTCAGAGGATTCACTAACTGAAGGCAACAGTTGTTACAGGTATCACTGCAAAAACATAATACGTAATATATGAACGAGGAGAGCGAGTGTTTCAAGGTGACATTCAAACGCGAGAAAATATTGCTTTCGAGTGCTTAGATATCTCTGTGGCACGCGAGCTTGAGTTATTATATGGCTTCTCCAGTGAATTTAACATTTAACAGGGACGTAGCCAGGGGTCACGTAGCCACGCCCCCCTCCCCCCCCCCTGCTAATATTTAGTGTCAATATATACTTAGTGCAAAAGCAAAAATTAACGCACACTTGTCTACTTGATAACTTGTTCTTGATACATGAAGAATTCAAGGTGCGTGCGCCACACGTTGACCAACAAAACCACGGCTGAATTGCTCGCGCATTATTAATGAATTTGAGAAAGTGAAATCCATACTATACAGTAGATAATCCAGTCATCACTCGTCAGTTTTATGTGAATAACTCTCACATCAATTTTACATATTGTTCATTTCGACTTTGCAGGTCCTATCTGGGTTTGCTTGCTTCGGACACAGTTGAAGTAAGCGACGATGAGGATAACGAGCAGCTGCAGACTGCAATTGAGAATAGTTTATTACAACAACACGTGTAAGTTCTGCTGCATGGACGTGTTACGTTTTCTTTTTTCTTCCAAAATATACAACCTAACAGTTGAAATTGCAGACACATAAAAAACTTGTTGAAAAACACAAAAAGCAAAATTCTGTTAAAAGAAAAAGGTTGCAAGCGGTATTTGTCCAGATACGGTTTTAGGGTTTATTCATAAAAATTCGAAACTCTATGATCATGCATGTGTGCATCGAAATTGCAATCTTTTCGCTTTAGCCTAGCATTAATTTCAGAAACAGGATCAAGGCATATTTTAACATATATACTGAAGACATTTGCCAACAGGCCCCCCTTGTTGGTCCCCCACTCAAACAAGTTTGGCTCCCACTCCCTTGGCCCTTTTAACATATTGTATTAATTATAGTTTGAAATTAAATCACTTATAATTAAAGGCGTTATCATTTAAATTTTTGGTCTCTTCCTCGGATTGTCATTTCCACGAAATAGAATCGACCTATATGCGATATCATTATGTACAAGTTAAAATGTTCATTAAAATACATGTACAAGTGGACTGGTAAAACATCAATTTATATAGCATTAGAATTATTAACATTGCCTCCCAAATTGCACGAAATGGCAATTTCAGAAATTCCAGATTTCAAAATTTCCCCCTTTTCAGATATGGCCCCCACTGCTAAATCCTTAAAATATGCCTTGAACAGGATACAAGTCTGTAGTAACGATTCTTAAAAGTTTGTAATAGGTGGAAACAGATAACAATTGTTAAAGAGCAGTTCTTCGATTCTTTTACGCTGCAGTGCACCGAATGCAGACGAAACAACGGAGACCGTGCTTAGTAAACACGTTGCTATAGTAATGGTTGGCCAACCGTCCGACGTTCAGATCAATAAAAACCTAATTAATGTTCGTCGAAATCACATGTTTGAAGATGGCATTACTAAGATGGCTCGAGCTAAATTTGAACCATCGCATCCGCTCTCTGTTAGGTTTGCCGATGAATTGGGGTTTAGTGAGGGAGCTGTGGACCTTGGTGGTCCCACTCGAGAATTTCTTCGCCTGGCAGTAAGAGAAGCTTTAACAACGAATGCGTTTAGCGGCACATCAACCAGCAAAGTTATAGTGCTTAACCAAGAAGGTAGGCGCTTATGATGTATAAATGTACTGAACCTTTTTGTAAGCAACTACATTCATGGGCACTCTACAGTATGTATAAACGCCAACCATTATGTTTTATATGGGTTAGACACTATTTGATTTTAAAACAAACTTTTCAGCTATTCCAACAAAAAATTTCGATTGTCCTTTGTTACCTGACAAATAGGAAAATTTAAATGCAGTTTTTCACAGCAATCAACAAATCACTGCGCAGATACATTGCCGTTCAAACGAGGACGAGAGTTCATGAGAGTTGGCTGTAAGGATTTATTACAGGAGATTTTTCACTTTTATTTTAAAGATGCTGTAAAGTCCGTAATGGCGTAATGGAACTCAGTGCTACTGCTACAATAGACCTTTCCGGTAATTACGTCACGACTAACACTGCTTTCAACTTACGACCACTTTTAATGAAATGGATTTTAAATTTGTTTCTTATGGGCTATGGTCAGAAGAGCAGAACATCCTTCGTCAACACATGCATAAAAAAAGAATTTTGGATTTTGACCATTACTGTCGTTCCAATTGAAGTGTTGCTCAAATATTGATTGAATACATTACCTCGGGCTGACCAATTCATTTGATCAAGTTCCTCGAGATATTCATACACTTCCTGTGAAAGAGCCAATTCCAAGTATTTGATCATTTCTGGTCACTTCCTTTCTATTTATGATTGGTTAGTTGCACAAACAACAAAGGTGATTGGTGCATTCAAACTATTCAACAGGAAGTTTACAATTATACTAGGAAGTGTATGAATATCTCGAGGAACTTGACGAAATGAATTGGTCAGCCCAAGGTAATGTATTGAATCAATATTTGAGCAACACTTCAATTGGAACGACAGTAAACGTGGAAATAAGCTTAAACACGAAATAAGCTTAAACACCTCTTGGCCCCTCAGCCTCGTTTTCGTGTTTAAGCTTATTTCCACATTTATTGGTCAAAATCCAAAATTCTTTTTTATGCATGTGTTGACGAAGGATGTTCTGCTCTTCTGACCATAGCCCGTAAGAAACAAATTTAAAATCCATTTCATTAAAAGTGGTCGTAAGTTGAAAACAGTGTTAGTCGTGACGTCATTACCGGAAAGGTCTATTGTAAAATATAAAGGGATATTCTAATGATTCGCTATGCTTGTAAATGAATACAGACTAGAGATTCAATTCATGAAAGTTTGGGAGGTGCGAAATATTCATAAAATTCCAATGGGCAATGGTCGGGACCATTGGAATGTAGGCCTGCGCAGAACGGACTCTACAGCACCTTTATGTTTCGATGAATATTCCAACTTCAGTATGTTGCAATTTAAACCTTGCTTGGTCCGGGTTGTAACCGAAATTTTGGTTCATGGAATAGCAAGCGAAATGGCAGGTTTACTGTATTCGTGTATTCGCAATGCAATAATGTTTTGTTAACTTTTCGTTTTAGCGAAAAGAAAAAATCTGTATTTTTTTTTTTTTTTTTTTTAAACATATTTTATTAATAATATAATGTGTTTGCCCCAAAAGCGCAAATGGCTTATCTAGGGGGCTCACACTAACTTTACAGATTTTTTTTGGTTTTATTAAAAAAGGAAGAAATACTCAACAAATACTTTACAAAAACATGCACACACACAAATTACAAACATGCTTTTGAATTAACTATGACTTAGAGAGAAGCGATGTGTTGAAAGGATATAATTCTGAATGACTTTAAAAAAATTACAATTATCATCAAAACTTAAATCCTGAATACCATTAAGAATATACCACAATTTTATCCCATCGCTACTCTCCGACCATTTATTACCACAAATCCGCTGGGCAGAGGCAAGAAATATGTTACGTTGAGCAGCGAATCGGGAGCAAGACAAGAAATAGTGATGGACAGATTCATTGCTTCTGCCACAAACACAAACGGGTGATGGACAACAGTTTATTCTACACAAATATTCGTTCAAAGCATGGAAACCAAGTCTAAGACGGGTATGTAAAATCGACGATCGACGAGTAACAGAGACATCGTACAACTTATTATACTTTGAACAACCAAAAACTAATTTAAGACGAGCTTTGAAATTGTTAAACGAAGGTGCATTTCTTATATCCGCATCTAGTGAATTCCATAAATCTATTGTAGAAGGAAAAAAGGATTGCCTAAATCTCATTGTTCTACATAAAAACGAGCTAATATTTTCATTTGAACGTAGAGAACAACTAACTCTTTCTCCTACAGTGATAGGCAATACGTCTACTAGATAAGAGGGAGAAATATGCTTAGTAATTTTATAAAAATAATTTAATTTGTGCATTTTTCTCCTTACACTGAGATTCTCCCACCCAAGCTCATTCCTCAACGCTCTAGCACTTGTACCCTTAATAGCACCTGTTACGACTTTTGCACAATCATACTGAATACTATCCAATAATTTGGAATCTATTTCACTGCAATTATCCCAAATTACGTCTCCGTACTCCATTAAAGGTCTAATTAGACTTTTATATAAACATGTTAATGTAGATCTATTAACTTTGTATTTAATCAATTTTAACATATTTAATCTTTTGGAAGCCTTTTCAAAAATGTTCTGTATATGGCTCCGCCAGGACATGTTATTTTGAAATATAAGGCCAAGATGGGCATGGCTTTCGACCTCAATTATACAAGCGCCGTCCATAAGCAAAGCAGGATGATCAGGTTTATTAAGTTTAAGAGAAAATATAATACTTCGACATTTTGACGGATTCATGGTAACAAGCCACTTTTTAGACCAATCCGATATTCTAGTTAAATCTTCATTCAAATTTGCAGCAGAAACATTCACATTTTGGACAATTTCAAAAAGCATGGTATCATCAGCATATATAAACGGTCTGGAATCGAGATCTGTAGTAATATTGTTTATATAAATTAGAAATAGAAGGGGGCCGAGAACGGACCCCTGCGGTACACCAGACTTAATACCTGCCCAATCAGATGAATGGCCTTCGATCGTTACGCGCTGCTTTCTATCTTTGAGATAACTTTCTATTCACATTAACAGTGGACCGCGAACACCCACTGCCTTGAGTTTTACTATTAATCCAGCATGCCAGACTCTGTCAAAAGCTTTACTAATATCTAAAAAGACTACATGTGCTTCCATGCCCTCTTCAAAAGCCAAATAAATTTGATGAATAATATAGATTAACTGATTAATAGTAGAATCGCCAGGTCTAAAACCGGATTGGTATTTATATAAAAAACCAATATCTATCAAAAAATTATAGAGACGATCGAAAACTATTTTCTCACAAATTTTTGAAAACGAGGGCAACAGCGAAACAGGACGATAATTAACTTTATATTGACGATTTTCTTTTTTAAATAATGGAATAACATTTGCTAGTTTCCATTGAGATGGAAATTTACCGATTTTGAAGGCTAAATTTATGAAGTTAGTAAAAAAAAACGCAAAAACCTTCACGACAAAGATTAATTATTTTATTTCCAATACCGTCATGACCACAGGCTTTGGATTTGTCCAGGTTTCGCATTAGAAAAAGGACTTCCTGAGTTGTAGCAACTATATCTGAATTTTCATTGCGGGAAGCTGCTCGCGATCTCCCTTTGCAATGGTGGAAGCGTTGGACACTGCCTCGCGCCTTGTATGTTCGATTTCATCGTCCATGGAGAGAGCAACTGCCACCCGTCTATTGATGATATTCAAGACCATGAATCAAAGTAACACTACAAAAGGTACATTATAATAATAATTTAATAATTTATAAAGCAATTTTTACATAACTATTTCATTGTTACCATACTTCGAACCGATAACACTAGTACGCGTTATTTTGTCATTATCCATGTAGATTTCTCAAAGTGAAGATGAAGCCTCTTTTCGAATCATCGTCCGTTCGGACTCGGTCATAAACTGCTTTGCACAAGCTGGATATCATGGCGTCGCAAAATTAGAACTGAAGAAAGAGCTTCTCACCGAACTTTGTCATTTTTTTGTGATTGACAAAGCCAGGAGTGCCCTTGAGCAGTTTAAGGAAGGATTGCGGACGTTGGATATATTGAATTTAGTAAAGGAATTCCACACTTTATTTCGTCCTTACTTCTGCTACACACCGAAAACATTGACAGCAGCTTGCATTGATGCAATTTTCACGCCAATCCTATCCGAAGATGGTTGCAGAATCCGAGAGAGGGAGGAACTTGTGATAATGCATTGGCGTGATTATCTACAAGAACGTGAAGGTAATTAGGCGATCCAATGCAGATGTAATGTAGAGAAAGTCCCCCTGTCTCACTATACTGTGTATCGAAATGGTTTTGCAATTCCCTACCTCCCCCAAGAGGAAACAATGCATTTTCTATACAATGAAATCATGTAGGGGGGGGGGGGACTTTCTATGACTACTGTCTTTGAGTTGATGACGTATTAATGACTATGTTTTATTTGCAGATACTTCCAGTGTTAATGGGTCAGAGTTTGTCGTTACATTGCCGTCAATTTTGATATTTGCAACAGGTTTGGATGAAGTACCTCCACTGGGATTCCGCCCTAAACCAAGCATACATTTCTGAGAAGACCTTCGCCCAAGGAGCAACACCTGCGGCAACATCTTGTTCTTGCCACTTCACATAAATAACAACGATTTGGATTATGATACGTTCAAGAACATGATGGATGATGCAATCTTAAATTCCCCCACATTTGGGTTAGCTTGAACAGAGGATCATTATTTGAATATGGACATGTAAACAACGCTGATGTTTATGTAAGGACTGGACCGCACCTTCAATTCATAGAAATGTTTTAACACGATCATGTGCAGTGCGGATGTAGAATTTTAATTTATCAATGTTTTGTTGGGAACAGGCGTTAATTATTAAATATAACAAACAGCGGGTTAAATTTTAACCAGGTATTGCGCTAAGTTACTGTTTAGCAAATGATCCTGGTTTGCCAAAAAGCACTCATACTACAAATTGTGAAATATTATTTATAGTTTATACATCTAGACGCGGGTTTGTGCTCTACGCAACTTTCAGGAACTTTCAACTTTTACGAACGCAGTTTAAAGCATAGTTATATATTTAAATACATGCATGTTCCAATTACGTTCCAATTCAGTTGGCTTGATATGTCTCTCCTTAAGCATTCGTAAAAGGCAATCACTCACTATCTGACAGCCATATATAAGAATGTAAAAACAACAACAACAACAACAACAACAACAACAACAACAACAACAAAAATATATATATATATATATATATATATATATATATATATATATATATATATATATATATATATATATATATATATATATATATAAAAATATATATATATATATATATATATATATATATATATATATATATATATATATATATATATATATATATATGGTATATATATATATATG